GCTGGATTTTCTTGAAGTCCTCGCCTCTGAAAAGTGCGTGGGAGGGAAATGCCAACGAAAGGTGACGATTATTATCTCGTAATGACATGATTACCGAATGATTTCAAATCCAATGCGATTTTTGTACCCTCCAAAATGAGGAGGACGAAATCGCGAAATAAAACATCCAGTATTACTGAATTCTTTAATTACTTGGTGAAAGCAGGGTTGGAAAAGTTACTTTATAAAAGTATCTAGTTACAGTTACAGTTGTTTCGCTGAAAATGTAATTAATTATAGTTACAAGTAACCAATTCTGAAAAGTAACGAGTTACAGTTACAGTTACTCAAAAAGTAACGAATCATTACTTTTCAGTTACTTTCTTGCAATGAAAATAAAAATATCAAATCTTTATTAAAATAACTGACAAGAAATGTTAAAACAACACAATGTGCACTTATTTTTAATCTTACACAATACGTATGTTTTGTAATTCTATATTATTAGTAACAAGGTTTTATCTGTTAAAATTTACAGAATAAAACGTTGATTTTATTCTATGTAAGTGAGAGTGATTTCGAACCATCATTTGACTTATTACATCTGCAACATGTAAAAATTACACTTTTAAAAATTCATTTTGTCATTAAAAATGTATTAATTTTATACAAACTTTATTTCAAATTATTTTGAGATTTGCATTTATTTTGTGTTAAAATATTGTTACGTCCGGTTCAGAGCTCTTCGCGCAGACGAGCACCCGCGTACCGGCTCGGCGCGTCACGGGTACACTCGCGTCCGCGATAAAGAAAGCGAGAGACTTCGTAGAGAACGTAAAACGGATTTATTCAACCACAGACGTCCGTCCGGTTCAAGAACCAGACTTGATCTCTCTATAACGTAACATAACAAACAATAGCTCATCGGTATCGTGGCAACCCGCCACGATACCGGGCGCCGCTTTCTAACGAGGGCCGGAATCATCGCGAGCGTAACACCAAAGCGTGGTGCCAAATCGCCATACACCGGGCGTCCAATATTAGCGGGCGTAACAATATTAACAGAGTATTAGTGCGATCATATCCATATTATGTTAAATTAACACAAAAATTTGTGTGGACCGTTTGAGACATGTGATATCTGTTAAATTTAATATAAATTTGTCAACTGTGTATGATTCCGTTAATAAAAGAAATTGTTGCAATCCGTAATCTTGTCGTTCTGCGGCGAATTGTCGAGATAAATATCACGCGTAATTGGAAGAAAAAATGCGAGGAATCACGTATATAAATTATTAGTTAGTTTCGATATATCCACGAGCGATAATACCTTTCTTAACAATCAAACTCGGATGAATCTCTCTCACGTTATACTTGAAAATTTTCGTCGGTTTAAGTTAAACATTTATCGCTTTCAGATCAAAAGCGTAAGGTAATACACGATTCGTCAGGTAAAATAATAACAAAAAATTACAATATATCAATCGCTTGCCAAGAAATAATCTCTCTAACATTATTATTATATTATGTATAAAATTGCGCGTATAACATAAAGTTTTCATTTTCGTCGCGTTCAGGAGTGCCGTCCCAGTCAGAAATGTTTGGTTGATACGACGTCGAATCAACGTTGAAATCTGAAAGTCGATATCTTGATCGATTCGACGTCGAAAGCGTATAAAATATCAACTACTATTCGACTATTATTTCGACGTCGATTTAAGGTCAATTCAACGTCGATATAAAGTCGAAATTCGGTTGAAATAATATATATACAACCGGAAATGATTGGTCGATTTGACGTTGATCGACGTCGAATCGATGTCGACACGACCAATCATTTCCTGCTGAAAATACTTTATATTTCTTTTTGGTAAAAGTATTTTAATAGTTCAATCATGTTTTTTATATATTTATATTTATTAAATGTTTTTGTACATTTAACATTTAATATAATAACATTTAATATAAGTCGAGGTACGACTTTTGTTGCAAATGTATTAAATAAACTTTAAATGTCTTAAACAAACTTAAAAGTTAAGTTTTTAGTGCTTATATTCGAGTACAGTTTAACCCATTAGTGCATAGTGTCCGTTTAAACGGACGCACACTAAGTTGGCGCAAAAAAAAAATTAAAATTAAAATTAAAATTAAAATTAAAATTAAAATTAAAATTTGTTTTGCAATAATTTCATGAACTAATGGGTTAAAAGTCCCAATTAATGTAACGGGTGAGTGAGTACCCTAGTAGCACAAAATATTGGCGCAACCCAGATAGCTATAACGAACTTGATAAAAAAATCGACATCTCAAAATTTAAAAAAACAGATTCCGATAAAGAACTTCAGTTGTTTCGATTTCCAACAAATTCTATTTTTTTGTTCTTTTCCCCATACTGCCGTCATCTTCGAGACGCCATGGGGCTTGCTTTAGCCATAACG